ACTCTTTAAATAGGCTTATTAAATAGACTTATTAAATTGACTTATTAAATAGGCTTATTAAATAGGCTTATTAAATAGGCTTTTTAAATAGGCTTATTAAATAGGCTTATTAAATAGACTTATTAAATAGCCTCATTAAATAGGCTTATTTAGCAACTTAGGCCTTATTAACCTTATAATGGCTTATTTCAGCAACTTAGGCTTATTAAATAGCCTTATTAAATAGGCTTATTTCAGCAACTTAGGCTTATTAAATAGCCTTATTTCAGCAACTTAGACTTATTAAATAGGCTTATTTCAGCAACTTAGGCTTATTAAATAGGCTTATTCAGCAACTTAAGCTTATTAAATAGGCTTATTTCAGCAACTTAGGCTTATTAAATAGCCTTATTTCAGCAACTTAGACTTATTAAATAGGCTTATTTCAGCAACTTAGGCTTATTAAATAGGCTTATTCAGCAACTTAGGCTTATTAAATAGGCTTATTAAATAGGCTTATTTCAGCAACTTAGGCTTATTAAATAGGCTTATTCAGCAACTTGGGCTTATTAAATATGCTCATTAAATACTTATTAAATAGGCTTATTAAACAGGCTTATTAAATAGACTTATTAAATAGGTTCAATAAATAGGCTTATTAAATAGGCTCATTAAATAGGCTTAATTAATAGGCTTATTAAATAGCCTTATTAAATAGGCTTATTAAATAGACTTATTAAATAGGCTTATTAAATAGGCTTATTTAATTGGCTTAATAAATAGGCTTATTAAATAGGCTCAATAAATAGGCTTATTAAATAGGCTCGTTAAATACTTATTAAATAGGCGTATTAAATAGATGTATTAAATAGACTTATTAAATAGGCTTTTTAAATAGGCTCATTAAATAGGCTTATTAAATAGGCTTATTAAATAGACTTATTAAACAGCCTCATTAAATAGGCTTATTTTAGCAACTTAGGCTTATTAAATAGGCTTATTTCAGCAACTTAGGCTTATTAAATAGGCTTATTTCAGCAACTTAGGCCTATGAAATAGGCTTTTCAGCAACTTAGGCTTATTAAATAGGCTTATTTCAGCAACTTAGACTTATTAAATAGGCCTATTAAATAGGCTTATTAAATAGGCTTATTAAATAGGCTTATTAAATAGACTTATTAAATAGGCGTATTAAATAGGCTTAATAAATAGGCTTATTAAATAGGCTCAATAAATAAGCTTAATAAATAGGCTTAATAAATAGGCTTATTAAATAGGCTCAATAAATAGGCTTAATAAATAGGCTCATTGAATACTCTTTAAATAGGCTTATTAAATAGACTTATTAAATTGACTTGTTAAATAGGCTTATTAAATAGGCTTATTAAATAGGCTTATTAAATAGACTCTTTAAATAGCCTCATTAAATAGGCTTATTTTAGCAACTTAGGCTTACTAAATAGGCTTATTTCAGCAACTTAGACTTATTGAATAGCCTTATTTCAGCAACTTAGGCTTATTAAAAAGGCTCATTTCAGCAACTTAGGCTTATTAAATAGCCTTATTTAAGCAACTTAGACTTATTAAATTGGTTTATTCAGCAACTTAGGCTTATTAAATAGGCTTATTTCAGCAACTTAGACTTATTAAATAGGCCTATTAAATAGGTTTATTAAATAGGCTTATTAAATAGGCTTATTAAATAGACTTATTAAATAGGCTCAATAAATAGGCTTATTAAATAGGCTTATTAAATAAGCTCATTAAATAGGCTTATTAAATAGACTTATTAAATTGGCGTATTAAATAGGCTTAATAAATAGGCTTATTAAATAGGCTCAATAAATAGGCTTAATAAATATGCTTAATAAATAGGCTTATTAAATAGGCTCAATAAATAGGCTTAATAAATAGGCTCATTGAATACTCTTTAAATAGGCTTATTAAATAGACTTATTAATTGGACTTGTTAAATAGGCTTATTAAATAGGCTTATTAAATAGGCTTATTAAATAGGCTTATTAAATAGACTTATTAAATAGCCTCATTAAATAGGCTTATTTTAGCAACTTAGGCTTATTAAATAGGCTTATTTCAGCAACTTAGACTTATTGAATAGCCTTATTTCAGCAAATTAGGCTTATTAAATAGGCTCATTTCAGCAACTTAGGCTTATTAAATAGCCTTATTTCAGCAACTTAGACTTATTAAATTGGTTTATTCAGCAACTTAGGCTTATTAAATAGGCTTATTTCAGCAACTTAGACTTATTAAATAGGGCTATTAAATAGGCTTATTAAATAGACTTATTAAATAGGCTTATTAAAAAGGCTTATTAAATAGACTTAATAAATAGGCTCATTAAATACTTATTAAATAGGTTTATTAAATAGGCCTATTAAATAGGCTTATTAAATAGGCGTATTAAATAGGCTTATTAAATAGGCTTATTAAATGGACTTATTAAATAGCCTCATTAAATTGGCTTATTTTAGCAACTTAAGCTTATTAAATAGGTTTATTTCAGCAACTTAGACTTATTAAATAGCCTTATTAAATAGGCTTATTTCAGCAACTTAGGCTTATTAAATAGGCTTATTTCAGCAACTTACGCTTATTAAATAGCCTTATTAATCAGGTTTATTTCAGCAACTTGGGCGTATTAAATACCATTTTTAAATAGGTTTATTTCAGCAACTTAGACTTATTAAGTAGAACTTTTTAAATAGGCTTAGTTCAGAAACTTAGGCTTATTAAATCGGCTTATTTCAGCAACTTAGGCTCATTAAATAGCCTCATTAAATAGGCTTATTTCAGCAACTTAGGCTTATTAAATAGCCTTATTAAATAGGCTTATTTTAGCAACTTTGACTTATTAAATCGACTTATTAAATAGACATTTCAGCAACTTAGGCTCATTAAATAGGCTTATGAAATAT